TAGGGCCAGAGCCCGACGGGTCCTGGGCACGGCTGCTGTCCCGTGGGGGGGCGGCCTCCGCCCAGGGCCCCCCACCGGCCCCGGGGCTCACCGCTGTGGATGCCGACGCGCAGCTTGAGCTGCTGGTCGGGCCGGTGGCGGATCCGGAAGGTGCGCACGGCGTCGAGCAAGGCCAGGGACATGCGGGCCACCTCGCAGGCGTGCAGCTTGCCGTTGCGCACGGGCAGCCCCGACACCACCATGTAGGCGTCACCGATCGTCTCCACCTGGGGGGAGCACCGCCCTGGTTGCAGGCACCGTCCCCCTCCGCTCACTGCAGGCCTTGGGCGGCCTGAGCCCAGAGCAGAATGGGGGGTGCCCCTCCACAGGCTGTGTGCGCCCGTGCCCTTGCACGTGTGCCCACGCTCTTGCATGCGCACGGGCAGCCCCGACACCACCATGTAGGCGTCACCGATCGTCTCCACCTGGGGGGAGCACCGCCCTGGTTGCAGGCACCGTCCCCCTCCGCTCACTGCAGGCCTTGGGCGGCCTGAGCCCAGAGCAGAATGGGGGGTGCCCCTCCACAGGCTGTGTGCGCCCGTGCCCTTGCACGTGTGCCCACGCTCTTGCACGTGTGCATTCCCTTGCACGTGTGCCCACGCTCTTGCACCCTTGCACATGAGTGTGCCCTTGCACGTGTGCCCACACCCTGGCATGTGTGCATTCCCTTGCATGTGCCCTTGCACAAGTGTGCACCCCTTGCATTTGTGTGCATGCCCTTGTACATGTGGGGTGGGGGGCTGGACTCGATGACCTCTCGAGGTCCCTTCCAGTCCTATTATTCTATGATTCTATGTGCACACTCCCTCGCACGTGTACATGTGCCCTTGCACGTGTGCCCGGACCCTTGTGTGTATGCACATGCCTCTGCCCAGGCATGTTCAGCTGGCCAGGAGCCTCAGGCATTGCACTCTGCTAACACCCATCCTCCGGCCTCGGGCCACGAGCTGCGTCTGCTGACCGGCTCCCC